CCAACCCACACCCACCCACACCCACCACTCCCCACACTCCACACCCACCACACCCCACACCACCACCCCACACCACTACACCCACCACACCCACACCCACCTACCACACCCACTACCCACACACCACCACCCCACACCCACCACCACCCCACACCCCACCACCACCACCCCACACCCACCACCACCCCACCCACCACACCCCACACCCACCACTAACCCACACCCACCACCACCCCACACCCACCACTACCCCACTCCCACACCCACCACCCCACACCACCACACCCCCACACCCACCACTCACCCCACACCCACCACTCCCACCCCCCACTACCCCACACCCACCACCATCCACACACACCCACCACCACCCAACACCCACCACTACCCCACACCCACCACTACTCCACACCCACCACACCCCACACACCCACACACCCACCACTACCCACACACCCACCACTACCCCACACCCACCACCACCACCACACCCACCACACCCCCACACCCACCACCCACACCCACACCCACCACACCCCCACACCCACCACTACCCCACACCCACCACTACCCCACACACCACCACACCCCACACCCCCACCACCCCCACCCCCACACCACCACACACCACCCCACACCCACCACTACCCCACACCCACCACTACCCACCACTACCCACCACTACACCACACCCACCACTACCCCACACCCACCACCACCCCACAACACCCCACACCCACCACTCACAGCCACACCCACCACCACACCACCACCCCACACCCACCACTCACACCCACACACCACTCACCCCACACCCACCACCACTCCACACACCACCACACACTCCCCACACCCACCACTACCCCACACCCACCACACTACCCCACACCCACCACACCCACCACACACCCACCACCACCCACACCCCACACACCCACCACTACCCCACCACTCACCCACACCCCCACACCCACCACTACCCCACACCCACCACTCACCCCACACCACACCACACCACCACACCCACCCACTACACCCACCACTACTCCACACCCACCATATTTATCAACAATTCAAACAACAAAAAACAATAAAATCAACCTAATAAAAACACCTAAAAATAACACACACCAGCTGTTTATAGTGAAAAAAGCCCACAAATCACACATCGACCTTGACCCACATCTACTAAACATTACAGTCAGTAATTTCCGGTCAAATATATCAACAATGTTTAGTGTAAGAGCCTGCGTCTTCTCATGTGTGTGTGTGTGTGTGTGTGTGTGTGTGTGTGTGTGTGTGTGTGTGTGTGATTTACGGAGGCTGTTACGTGGAGAGCTACTATTTGAATTTCTCTCTCTCTCTCTAAAACACCAATTTGATTTTGAGGCAAAGAAAGAAAGAAAAAAGAAAGAAAGAAAGAAAGAATGTCCTCACGCTTTTTCGCTTGTCACAGGAAATCTTAAATATCAATTCCGGGAAAAAAACGAACAATCATGTAACACACACACACACACACACACACACACGTGATCCCTTTAAGTAGTCCAGCCGGCATTAATACTGCTGATTGTTAGGGTTAGGGTTAGGTTGGGTTGCTGGGCTGGTTAGGTTGGGTTGCTGGTTAGGGTTGGGTTGCTGGTTAGGTTGCTTGGGTTGGGTTGGGCTGGTTGGGGCTGGGTTGCTGGGTTGCTGGTTGGTTGTAGGTTAGGTTAGGTTAGGGGGCTGGTTAGGGTTAGGTTAGGTTGGGCTGGTTAGGTTGCTGCTAGTTGGCTTGGGTTAAGGTTGGGTTGCTAGTTAGGGTTAGGTTAGGTTGAAGTCCATTAGTTCAGGAGCCCATTTAACCAGTCACCTTTTATCAACGTCCATTATCTGTTTACTGGAAGTTGTTTACCTGATGTCTCAAGAGGGCTCCAGCGAACACCCATCCCCCATCCCCTCACCCAGTCCCAGTAGACCCCAACCAAATCTATTGTCTAGTCAAATTGGCCCTGTAGTCCTCACAGTCCCTCACCTATACTTGCTTGTTAGGGTCCATTAGGTCTGGGCGGCCCATTTGACCTGGTTTAAGACACTGATCACCTGGGTTGACCTGCCTAACCTAACCCAACCTAACATGGACACATAACCTAACCAAACCTTTCAATATTGTAACGTTAACTACTTCTTATAGTACGACACTTAACCTAACCTAACCTAACCTAACCTAACCTAACCTAACCTAACCTAATCTAACCTGACCTGACCTCACTTTCACAATAGACAACATTTAATAAGTACGTAAACATCACATGCCGAATAACAAGGATGACCAAGAAATCACTTTTGACCTTCGTTAATCTGAACTAGAAAACAAAAAACAATCCCTCACACGGAAGACGCCATCAGTCAGGTCAAGAAGGGCAGGCGGGGGGGGGCTGGGGGGCTGGGATGATTTAACCCAGCTAAATATGTTTATGAATCAGGTGGTATAGTTAAAACCCGTCACATTATAGGTGTTGAAGAAACCAGGTGTGTGTGAGGTGCTGAAAACTACCACACGAGGTAATTAACTAGCTGTAAACTGAAGGTAAACTAAGGCTGCAAATTGAAAGTAAACTGAAGGTAAACAGAGGTCGGTCCTGTGTTACCTCTCTCGTTAGTATCCAACTCCCTCCCTATTCCTTCCTTCCTTCCTTCCTATTTATTCATCGTCTTCCTTTACCTCCCCCTCCTTCCATGCCGCTGGTATCTCCTTACTCCCCTCTAAGTACAATGGGCTTAAAGGATATAGCTATCCTTCAATAAGAATCTTACCCGCCTCATGCTGATCCTACACGAATACTATACTGCAATAAACCGACCCTATATGACCTTAAAAAAACGGGGTCAAGGTCACTCATCTGGGCTTGTGGTCAATGTTGAAGTATCTGGTAATGTCTTTGGCACTACTTAACGGTTAAAGCTGACACCAGGATCAAAGCTTCCATGCCAGGGGAGAGGAGGCCACGTAAAATAAGTGATAAAGATTGAAAATTATCTGCACAAACACAGCCCAAGTCTTTACTCTTGCTGACAGACGAAACCAGGAGTTAACTGCATACCATCAAGACTTAACACCGACGCTTCTCTGTTAATTCTAAAGGTATAAGCACCGAAATAACATCTAAAATAACATGAAAATTACCCTGAGACTCGATCGACATTTACAGTAGGGTATCAGTTGTGAGTCTTTTTACGAATCTTTACTTACGAGAAATAATCAGTGTAAGAACCTTTTTTTTTTTTGGAGACTCTGGACCCTGACGTAGGCAATACACAAACAACCTCAAGTGACCACAAGACATAAAAAAGACCTTGTAAATCTTTGTTTTGATTTTCGTTGCCTCGTCAATTGTCTCAAGCAACGATAAAATAATAAACATGGAAGACCTGAACACGACAACACCTCTACTTACTGATAAATGTAAAACAAACGAAAAACAAAAGTGCCCAAATTAAGAAAAACAAAACAAAAAAAATAATAAATAAAAAATAAAAAACTGTCTCACTACCGCAGTTCAAGTAACATTGTTATGAAAGAACAACAACAACAACAATAACAACAAAGACAGGTGGTAGCAATGTTATCAAGGCCAACACATAGTGCGCACCTCCTAACCCCCACCCCCCCCTCACCTTCCCCTCACTCCCTGCTCTCCCTCCATCTTACCCCCTCTCTCTCTCCTCCTTCCTCCATCCCTTCACGCCCGGACGAATAGCAAGCGTGTAACCCATAGCATCACTTCACACACACAGGGAAAGAGACGCCTGTTATACTAATTCAAGGTAAATAAACAGTGGCAGCTCGCTTTTGTACACGGAAACTGCAGCGGTTATTCCTTTAGGCCTCCTGCCAGACTACCTCACGTGTTTCCCCTAAATCCTAACACGCATATGCACACACGGACACACCCATACCAAAATACTCAATTATACCGAATTAGTTAACCCATACCAAAAATACTATCTTATATACCGTATTAGTTAACCAATATCTTAACACCTATATATACCGTATTATTTAACCCACACCAAAATACTATTAATGAAAAATTCTTAAGAGTGAGTTTCGATCATACTATCTCAGGAAATCGAGGACAGTTTCGACTATTAAGATTCCCCGTAAAGATATTTCAGTATTACTCAAGAGAAGTCAATCCTACAAAGAGAAGTCAATCCTAGGGTGTAAATACAAGCAGCATCTGTCTCCATCCTCCACCAGTTATACTAAATTATTCCCTTCACATCCTGCCAAATGGCTTGAGGTGATAAAATGAACTAACAAATGGGATGGGTGAACGTTACTCCTAGGTTGAGAGGATTTGTGATTTAAAGTCGAATTTGCTATATATTCTTAGATTGGTAGTAGTGGTTGTAGGAGGAGGAGGAAGAGGAGGGAAAAAAAGAGGATAGAGTGGAAAATGAGGAAGAATAGAAGATAGACGAGGAGGAATATGAAAAAGAGGAGGAAATAGTGAAGAAAAAGAAATAGATGAGGAGGGGGGAGAAGGACAATAAGATAATGAAATAGAACAAAAAGTGAAAAACGAAGATGGGAAAGAAGGATATTCATTCTATAATAAGGGCACCAGAACTGAACCACATAATCGAGGTGCGGCCTGACTAGCGCAAGATATAATTGCAATAAGACCTCTACACTCTTATTACTTACACTTCTAGATATAAAACCCAATACTCTGTTTGCCTTATTTCGAATATTAACGCACTGTTTTCTAGGCCGTAGGACCGGGCTTACAAGTACCGCTAAGTCTCTTTCACAAGTCGACTTATGTTCTTATGTTCATTTTCCACCCCATCCTCTTTCCTCTTCCTCCCACTACTACCAATCTGGGAATATATAGTGAATTCGACTTTAAATCACAAACTCCAAAATGAAATCAATCACATGACCAACAACTACAAGCAATCACAGTGAATCAATTAGAGAAAAGTTGATGAACGTGTTAGAATAGACTCACCTTAAGTAAGTCGAGTGGCTATCATGGTGAAGAGGTCATCAAGCGCCCCACACACACACACACACACACACACACACACACACACACACACACACACACACACACACACACACACACACACACAGACACACAGACACACACACACCCGCTACTTTCACCTCCCCGCACCTCGTCAACACCACAATCCTGAAATATAAACATTGATTCAAGCAAAGATGGGAGTAGTAAAGTCAATACCACTCTCTTTCCATATTTGACCTGACCTGACCTGACCTGACCTAACCTAACCTAGAAAAAACGACCTCGCATAAAAACAACAAATCGTATAAACTCTCTTGGAAAGGTCTGGCCATTACATGAGTCGGTAGAGTGGGCGTGATGGGCGAAGTGGGCGTGATGGGCGGAGTGGGGTACATGCATATTAGAGGTGTTTGGAGTGGGCTTGGTGAGACTGGGAAATAGAGTGGGCATAAATGGGAAGAGGGAGTAGTAAACAGAGTGAGAGGGAGGGAGAGGGAGTTTATTGTGTGTGTATAAATAACCACACACACACACACACACACATGCGCGGACTGTGGCAGTTTTATGGGGTCTTCTCTTGATATTATTCCCCTCTAAATCTAATCTCACCCCCACCACGATCACAACCATCTCTCTGCCGCCGCCTCATTCACCACCAGATAGCATCACCTGACAGAACATCTCACACATTTCAGTCAAATATATAAGACACGTTTTATGTATTTCTTCCCGTGTTTTTCAAGGGCGTTTTCAAGGACACTTATCAAGACGTCCAAACCAAATCCAGCTAATTTTTTTATGTATTTTTTTGCAATATTTACTAATGAAAGGTTAAGTTTCAGAACATCTTTTACAAGTCTTTCATAGTATGTCGAAGATCAATTACTCTACCTCAAAATCGAATCCCCCAACTCGAACCCCCAAAGTTGAACCCCAAAACTCGAACCCCAAAGTTGAACCCGAGTTGAACCCCAGGTTGAACCCCGAAACTCGAACCCCAAAACCCGAGACAGGTTGTTTTTGAATATTTAATTTTATTTACCTTTAGTTAGACTCAAGTCCCGCCTTTCCTTAGTCAAAGGGGTCAACAACATTTTTCCCACACGATGGAGTTTTTTTTTAAGTACGCCTCATTAATGAATATATATTACATTAACTGCCCTACGATCATTATTATTTTTTCTCCAATTCCCTATTTTTTATCTATCTCACCTGTTTAACAATTAACTACAGGTAATTCTATTAATTTACTAATATTACGCAGGTGTATTTATTTATTATTTTTACTCCTAATTCCTGGTTTAGTTACAATTCTTTTATTTAGTTATTTATCAATTTTTTTTACCCGTGTGCACGTCTTGAGAAGCACCTGTGTTGTAAGTTGTTAGTGAAGAGAGAACCAGGTGTGTGTGGCGAGTGACCGTGCCAAAAGCGAGTGACACAAAGATTTAGCCAAATGGGTCCCACATTATAGTACAAAACACAGCAAAACACACATACAACCACGGTAAGCTCATCGACTCTAAACCCTGGATCACTAACTTGGGTGTGTACCGCCGACTGTCACTAAGAAACGGTACCACTATCAGTAAGAAATGATACCGATGTCAGTAAGAAACGGTACCACTATCAGTAGTCAGTAAGAAACCACTATCAGTAAGAAATGATAGTAAGAAACGGTACCACTATCAGTAAGAAATGATACCGATGTCAGTAAGAAACGGTACCACTATCAGTAAGAAACGATACCGATGTCAGTAAGAAACGGTACCACTATCAGTAAGAAACGGTACCGATGTCAGTAAGAAACGGTACCACTATCAGTAAGAAATGATACCGATGTCAGTAAGAAACGGTACCACTATCAGTCCTTATTCTTTGACGACGAAATTTTTGCTCCTATGGGAATTAAACAGTTGGTTCCTGTAAGCATCGATTCGATTTTTTTCATCTTATCTGTGCTGTATAATGGCGTCTCTCTCTCTCTCTCTCTCTCTCTCTCTATGTTTTCCTATGTGCGGCCGTTCTCTAAACTCCTTCCTCAGCATATACACCTTGACATTACCACCTCCCTTACACACTATGGTACTTCAACCACAATTTCCACTATCCAACACTACGACTCCTTCACCTTAAAAAGCAAAACTAAACTAGGACGTAAATGGGTCGCAGTCCAAATAGGCCCTAACCTAACCTAACCTAACCTAACCCCCACCACCGAACACCCACATTCTATATTAGTCTCAAGTTTGTTTTCCTTTACCGCTGGGTTAAATACTCTCGGATACCAGCCGTTGCCCCCGAGTACTTGTTGCAGGGGCTGCCAGGGAGACGGTCGCAGGCACCACCACGCGGCCGACGAACTGATAGGAATCTTTTACTTGGTTCCTGGTGATTACCTAACCTAACCTAACCAAACCTAACTAGAATTGAGAATAAATGTGTGTGTGTGTGTGTGTGTGTGTGTGTGTGTGTGTGTGTGTGTGTGTGTGTGTTTACATCTCACATCAATGTACACAACCCAAAACTCCTCCACTAAAAGTCAATCCAATTACTACACCTTCCACCACCATCCCTACTCAGGTATTTTAGTGAGGGTTTTTAACATCCTGAGGTGTCCAATCCGATTTCCCCAGGTGTTGTCCTTTGAAGCAATTAGTTCACCTGTAGTACACACCTGACTACTCGTAATCCCACGTGAAAGTAAGGACAGTACACATCACCATGAAGAACACAGCAGCAGAAGAAACAACAGTGTGTAGGGTACAGGAAGCCCCAGACCAACACACACACAGGCTTCTCCCACCAATACCAACACTCCATTGCCAAACATAACAATGTGTCTATCGCCATAACATTCATTTTTCATTTTATTCTTATACACTAGTACATCGAGACCCACATATAGTATAAAAATAGCATTGCTAGTTAGAGGTAGACGATCAGCAATACCAACACGTCTGCAAAATTCCAGAGTGTCCCCCTACAAGCCGCCTCGCAGTGACGCCTTGAGCCACACGTCTCGACTATATATAACCCATTACCAAATATCCCTATACGCGCCACCTACCCTTGTCCCTATTATAAGACACAGGCACAACTCCCCATAGTTCATGAGACAGACACGCCAAGCCAGACTAAATATAGTTCAATGATGTGATATAGGTAGAGGGGGAGTTGTGATTGGCTGAGGAGCGGTGACGTCATGTGTTTACCTCAGTAGGGTAACAGCAGCCAGTGTAGGTGTGGTGAGGTAGGTGATCTGGCCTACACTTATGATTACACACATACACACACGCATACATATACACGTATGAACACACAGCTATAACAGACGATCTTGCCTGTGACAAGTACACCACCACCATTGACAACATCATCACTACTGGCAACATACGAACTCCATGGCCGATTAATACAACAACATTAATAACACACTATCGCTGACAACACACTTACACCATCACCATTGACAACAAACACACACTATGGACCGTGACAACATTGACACACTACCAACACGAAAATCATCACCACCAATAACAACACCAGGAACACCACACTTATGGTATATCACCACCAGTAGTGACAAATCACCATCAACACCACACCAAACACTATACCACACCAACATCACCACTACCACCAGCATCATACCACCATCTCCACCACACCCTACTAAGGTCGTCACACTTAACATCATTATGGTCACATCGAGTCGGGACGGTGAGGGACGCACTGCAATTACCGTGGAGACTATGACGTCATTTCCTGCGGCACGGTGCCACGTGGTTGGTACGAGTGCCAGGAGCCGCGGGCAAGAGCACAGGACACCACTGTGAAACAAACTATCTGTCACCTCTATCATGCCTGGTATGTCATTCATCGACTTTTTATATAATTCTAAATTCTGAACAGAGTCACGCCACTAGACCATGATGGGTGGTGGACCTGACACCTTCATGGGTTATCGCTAAATATTTAACAGGAAGGTCCCTAGACGTGAAGGAGAGGGGGTCAACACTCCAGCGGCTTAGTCACCATCGTATCAAACAAACAGACAAACTACAGCTACGTTAAGTCATAAATATTATCAATGGATAAAAGATGAAGTTTGGTGAACATATTTTGTTTCATCGACTCATGGATTTTTTTTCCAGGAATATCTTAAACCGTTCCAGTCTCTCTCTCTCTCTCTCTCTCTCTCTCTCTCTCTCTCTCTCTCTCTCATGCATTTTCTCCCCCAGCTAGCGGCAACGTTACTCATCCATCCCCTCCCTCACTCCGCTATGCCTGGCTGGGATAGAACAATACACCTCCACCACCAAGTCTTCCTTTGTCGTGATCAGTGAAGTCATCAGCTCCCAACACCACCGCCCCGCCCCGCCCCGCCCCGCCCCGCCCCGCCCCGTCACGCACTCCATCCCATCAACTTATCCCAATTCACGAACATTCTGTATTTACTTCCAAACTGTTATTACATCTCCAGATAGAAGGAAAAAAATGATCGTCCAAATATCAGCCTCTGGACTACAGTAGGCCTAAAGATTCCTGTGATGAACAATCCCTTCAAGTAAGCATGTATGGGTGTATGTTTAGTCTACTGGTTGGCTGTACCTATATAATACACAACAAAAAACATTCAAAATAAGAAAACAAACTTACTATACTCTGAATATCTCTCTCTGAAGTAGATACATTCACTTGGTACTCTTACGGGACGAAATCCACGCAGAGAAGTTTCCAAGAGACTTAATGCTAGGAGAATGTGTCTAGAGAAGAGATGGTGGTGCTCTGATTGGATGCTGGTTTTGTGCTATTGATAAAACTAACCAATAAGACCCATATCCTCACCTTGACTGTTCCTGGCTTAGTCCTTTGAGTCCTAGTGGGTTAAATCATCGTCCTCAAAGGGTTAAAATATCATTCTCAAAGGATTAAATCGTCATCTAAGGGTTAATAAATCGTCCTCAAAGGGTTAAACTTATGGAAACGAAGTCAATTTATATAATTCACTCAGCGTATTATATAACTGCAAGAACTTAATTGAATCTGTCTAAAACCACTATAAGATCTAATTCCTTCCTCTAACAGCAATATTTCTCTCCCTCTGACAATATTGTAAGGGTAAACTTTGTCCAGCCAGGGTAAGTCTTAATTTTTTT